GTGGCCTCTCCCCCTCCGAGGAGCCCACGCCACCCGGCTCCTGGCTCCCCGTGGCCGCTCCCCCCCCCCATCATCCCCTGACCTCCCACAGGAAGGTCATCGCGCCCATGCTTTCCCGTCACGGCAAGCTGTGGTCCAACTTCTGGGGTGCCCTGAGCCCAGACGAGTACTACGCCCGCTCCGAGGACTACGTGGAGCTGGTGCAGCGGAAGCGAGTGTGAGTCCCCCGTGTGCGCCGCGGGCGCCGGGCCCCGCCTCTTGGGAGGGCCGGAGCGGGAGGTTGGGCGGCTCAGGCCCGGGGACCCCGGGATGGGCCTCTGCGCTGAAGCGGGGTACCGGGGCGCCCGCAGGGGCCTGTGGAACGTGCCCTACATAGCCCAGGCCTACCTGATCCGCGGGGACACCCTGAGGACGGAGCTGGCGCACAGGGACGTCTTCTCCGGCGGCGACGCCGACCCCGACATGGCTTTCTGCAAGAGCCTCCGCGACAGGGCGAGTGCGGTGGCGGGCGCGGGGCCTGGGCGCTGTGCCAGCCCTGCTGCCCTCCGCTCATGCCGCCCTCCGTCCCACTCCAGGGCGTCTTCCTGCACCTCAGCAACCAGCAGGAGTTCGGCCGGCTGCTCGCCACGGCCCGCTACGACACGGAGCGCCTGCACCCCGACCTCTGGCAGATCTTCGACAACCCTGTGGTACGAGGCCTGCTCCCCCGCCCGCGCATGCGCACGCCAGGAGGGTGAAGCAGGCTCGGCTCAGTGCCCTCCCCCGCAGGACTGGCAAGAGCAGTACATTCACGAGAACTACAGCCGCGCGCTGGCCGGGGCCGGGCTGGTGGAGCAGGTGAGCCCCCGGGTGAGGTGCCCACCGCCGGAGTCCCTGAGCTCCGGGGCCTGAGGGTGTGCTCTGCAGGCAAGGGGAGGCCAAGAGCCACACGGGCCTGTTGACCCTAAGCTCTGGACGCTGATGCAGAAGGGCGGGGAGGTTCGGGCTAGCCTGGCCTACTTAGCGAGTGCCAGACCCGCCACTGTCAGATGGAGGACCAAGTGTCAGAAAAACAGATGTGGGCGGAGGCCCAGCGGCCCAGCACGAACACGAACACGAACACGAACAGGAACACACGGGGACCCAGAGCAACGCTGGGTGCGTAGGGGCCGTCCTCCCAGACCTGAGAAGGCGGGCGCGCGACCCCAGGCCGGTGGCTGTGTCAGGAAGCTCTGGGTTCCGTTGGTAGGGCCCGCCTCACGGAGGAGGCGAGAGCAGCCAGCCTCAGCTCTGCACACGCGCGCAGCACACCCCACGCGCATGTGGAAACAGGCGTGCCGCAGGCCTGGACCCCAGAATTCACACGGTGGAGGCAGGAAGATGTGAGGCTCAGGAGTTGAAGGCCAGCCTCAGACACAGCAAGCTCAAGGCTGCCCTGCGTTATGTACTAGCCTGGTCTAAATGGAGATGAGTGGCTGGGACGGGGCTCAGGCAGTGTCGCCCAGCATTCCCAGAGCCCTGGGTTCCAGCCCAGCACGGCATAAACTCAACATGGCTTCACACGCCTGTGATCTCAGTAGAAGCAGGAGGATCAGGAGTTCAAGGCCAGCCTCGGCTACACAGTGAGTCTGAGGACAGCCTGGGCCACAGGAGGCCCTGTCTCAGAAGAAAAGGGCAGAGCAGGACCCTTGTCTGGATAGCGGGGCTGGCACTCGGTGCCGCCTCCCCCTCCGCTCAGGCCTACCCTCCCCGCAGCTGCCTGAGAGCGCCATGGCAGGCCCCGGCCACGCCTCCTCGCCCTTGACCTGGTCACCTTCCCCAGCCTCACTGTCCTGTCCTGTCCTGTCCATAGCCATGCCCAGACGTGTACTGGTTCCCGCTGCTGACAGAGCAGATGTGTGACGAGCTGGTGGAGGAGATGGAGCACTACGGCCAGTGGTCGGGAGGACGGCATGAGGTGAGGGGAGGGGGGATGAGGAGGACGGAGGGGAGGACGGGACAGAGTAGAACAGAGGGGAGGAAGGAGGGAAGTTCAGAGGAGACAGAGGGGGGGCAGAGAGGACGGGAGGACGGGTCTGGCGTGGAGGGGGTCGGGTGGGCGTTCGGTCGGGTGGGCGTTCGGTCGGGTGGCTGCTGTGGCAGAGCGTGTGTCAGGAGCGATTTGAAGGAAGGGTCGGCACGGCTCATGGTCGGTGCACAGTCCGTCATGGTGGGCGTCCCCGAGGGGCCCGCGGGCTGAGCGGCTGCGCTGCCCGCAGGACTCGCGGTTGGCGGGGGGCTACGAGAACGTCCCCACCGTGGACATCCACCTGAAGCAGGTGGGCTTCGAGGACCAGTGGCTGCAGCTGCTGCGGACCTACGTGGGGCCCATGACCGAGCACCTGTTCCCCGGCTACCACACCAAGGTGGGCCACCGCGCCGGCTCCCCTACCCCGTCCCGGAAGGCTCCGAGAGCCCCCGCCCTCGCCCCCGCCCCGGCAGCAGCGCCGTGTGGACCAGGGCCCGGGGGGATGGGTTTGGGCGGAAGTAAGTCCCCTGCTTTATGCGAGGGTTTTAGAGGCGGGGCGCGCTCAGGCCTGTGACCACAGAACCAGGCCGGAGGCGGGGCCGCTAGCACGCCAGCCTCGGCTGCACAAAGCCCAGCTTCCGTGCCCGGCACCGCGGAGCCGCGGCTAGCCCAGCCCAGGCCGGAGCCCGGGTCAGGAGGCAGAGGCAGGTGATCAGACGATCAGGCCCTCAGGAGCTCCGTAGCGAGCTGAGGCCAGCCGGGGCACGTGACACCTTGGCTCCGGACCTGGGGAGAAAGGGGCCCGGGAGATGGCCGTGCAGGGACGCTTGTGTCCCAGGGTGACCTGAGTTCAAGTCAGCGCCCGTGCGAAAGCTGGACCTGGCCTTCCACATCCGTAACCCAGTGCCGAGGAAGCGGGGTCGGGGAGGACGAGTACACAGACCCAGGGTGGCGGCACACGTGTGATCCAGAGAGGCAGAGGCGGCAGATCTGAGTTCGAGGCCAGCGTGCTCTACACGGCGGGCTACAGGCCAGGCGGGGTTGCCCGCGTAGACCCTGTCTCAAAATACAGCGGAAGGAGTTAAGGAGGCGCCGCCCTGCCGTTCCCTGCCCCCATCTCGTCCACCCCGTGTCCCCACAGACGCGGGCAGTGATGAACTTCGTGGTCCGCTACCGGCCGGAGGAGCAGCCCTCTCTGCGGCCGCACCACGACTCGTCCACCTTCACCCTCAACGTCGCCCTCAACCGCAAGGGGGCGGACTACGAGGTGGGTGTGCGGGCTCTGGGGCTGTGCTGGGCCCCTGCGGGCTCGGTACCCGGCCCCGGCTGCTGCTCGGGTCTCGGTGTTCTGTGGTGTCCTGGCCCCGCTGCTGTGACAAGAAGCAGCTTAGGGAGGCAGTGGGGCCGCCGGGCCTAACTGCCCCCCACGGGGCAGGAGCTGGGGGAGGGGCTGGGGAGCTGGGGCAGGCGGGAGCAGAGCCGAGGCAGAGGCCTGGGACATGCTTGCTGCTTGAGCGCATGGCTTGCTCAGCTGCTGCTTCTCCCCTTTTCATTTCTTTATTTTTATTTTGTGTACATTGGTGCTCACCTGCCCACGTGTCTGTGTGAGGGAGTCAGATCCCCTGGGACTGTTACAGACAGCTGTGAGCTGCCTCGTGGGTACTGGGAACTGAACCCTGGTCCTCTGGAAGAGCAGCCACCACTGAGCCACCTCTCCAGCCCCCGTGACTGCTTTCTTACACACCCCAGGACCATGTGCCCAGGGGATGAGGCCACCCACAGTGGGCTGGGCCCCACATCAGTCCAGAGAGTGTCCACAGGCCAGTGTGATGGACAGGTGCATTCCCTCAGTCCAGGGCTTTTCCCTCGTGAGCCCAGCTTTGTCAAGTTGATGAAGGCCAGCCAGCTGCACCCCTCCCTCCTGTCCCCTGTCTGCGCTGCTCTTTTCTTGCGGCCATAAACTCCCTGACAGTGTAGAGAAGGACACGCTGTTCGGCTCACAGTCTCAGGGTGCACAGTCGTGGCGGGCGTGATGGAGGGAGCTTGAGCTGCTGCCGGTTAAGGAAGCAGAGAGGTGCGTGCCACCTTGCCTGGCTCTTGGTGTCAGGCCTGGACGGTGCTCCCTCATGCGGCTGTGCTCCCCGGGCCGTCCCGGAAACTCCCTCCCTCCGTCCGTCAGGTGTGCAGTCCAGATCAACCGCGCGGCTCTGCCCAGGCGGAGTGGCTTCTGCGGCCTCCCTGCGCCCTCCCTCCCGTCTGCTGACCTTTTCACCTTGTCCCTCCCCAGGGAGGCGGCTGCCGCTTCCTGCGCTACGACTGCAGAATCTCATCCCCGAGGAAGGGCTGGGCCCTGCTGCACCCCGGCCGCCTCACGCACTACCACGAGGGGCTGCCCACCACCCGCGGCACCCGCTACATCCTGGTGTCCTTCGTGGACCCCTGACCCTGGCCGGCCAGACCGCCACTGTGCCTAGCGGGCAGCCGCTCGCCGTTCTGAGAAGGGCTCTGCCTGCGCGCCGGGTGTGCCCGCGCGCCGGGCCCGCAAGCGCTGGCCCCCGCAGCCAGCAGCCAGCAGCCAGCAGCCGTCCCAGGAGCCCACGGAGCCCACGGACTCGGGGAGTGCACTCGCTCCCGGCCTGATAAGTTATTGAGCCTCACTGCCTCACTGTCAATAAAAGGGTGTTTGTACCCGCTGGGTCCACAGAGCACACGGAGACGGGCTCGGGAGGCCGCGCTGGGGACGTGCGGTTGTGTGCCCCGTGACAGGCCAAGTCCTGCATGGTGGCCCGTCGTGTGCCAGCCGAGCCACACACACTCCTGTGTTCTCTGTATGCAGAGCCGAGAACCTGGAGCCGGATGCCGGCTGGCTGAGTTGAGAGCCACCTGGTTTGGGCCTTAGCAAGGACCGAGACTCTTAACCTCAACTTTACACACTTGTTTGTGTGTGTGTAACTCTGGGAATAGGTTCTCTTCTGCCGTATGTGCTGGCTAGTTTATGCCAATTTGACAGAAGCTAGAGTAGCCTGAAAGGAAGACACCTTAGGGGAGAGACTGCCCCGTGAGATCCAGCTGTAGGGCATTTTCTTAATTAGTGATTGGCGGGGGAGGCCCAGCCCATTCTTGGGGTGCCATCCCTGGGCGGGTGCTCCTGGGTTCTATAAGCAGCTGAGGGCTGGAGAGGCCACTCAGAGGTTAAGAGCACTGACTGCTCTTCCAAAGGTCCTGAGTTCAATTCCCAGCACCCACATGGTGGCTCACAACCATCTATAGTGAGATCTGGTGCCCTCTTCTGGCCTGCAGGCACACACAGACAACATTGTATACATAATAAATAACTAAAAAAAGAAAGCAGCTGAACAGGCCGAGGGAAGCAAGCGAGCCAGCAGCACCCTCCGGGCCCTCTGCTGCTGCTCCAGGCTCCCGCCCTGCCTGGGTTCTGTCAGTGATGAACCGAGCACTGGAATTACCAGCCTGACGCACCACACACTTGGCTCGGGCGTTAAAGATGGAAGCCAGGAAAGGTAGCCTGTAACCCCAACATCCAGGAGCCAGGGAAGAGGACATGAGCTCAGGAGCAGCCTGGGCCACACAGTGAGTGTCTCAGCACAAATGCCCTGGGCTGCGGAGCTGCTCAGCCGTCCTGCGTCCCGCCTGTGAGCCCTGAAAGAAGACAAACTAGGGTGAGAGAGGAAAGGCCCGAGCGTGGAGGGAAAGCGCTGACGGGCCCGGCCGTGAGAGGAGCAGAGCAGAGGGAGGATGAGAGGAAGTGTGGCACAGCTGAAGTCGCCGGGTCACCAGGAAAACGGGCAGCTCCGGGGAGGGGCGCCCTGGCCAGAGAAGTGGGGGCAGGAGGGACGCCAGCACTCTGCCACGTGGGAGCCCGGAGGCCAGCAGGCGCCACAGGCAGCCATTTAGCCTTTCTGCCGTCAGTGGCCCTTTCGGTAGTGGGGAAGCAGCTTGGCAAATTTTGGAGAAATTCTGGCTTTCGCCTAACTGCCAGAATTTGGAGAAATGAATTTTCCTGTAGAGCTGACGTCCAGGCTTCAGGAAAACATACCTGGCACGGTAGTGTGTAGAGAAATGTCAATTCAAAACACGGCTGCTCTGGCAAGATCACATCCAAAGACGACCTAGGTCTGTGTGATCCAGGAGACAGGCAAGAGATCGGAGCTCAAGGCCAGCCTGGTACAGAGCAAGTTTCACGTAGAGAAAAGATTAGCGTGGTGCTCAGAAAGAACAAGAAAGGGTGAGCTCAGTCAGCAGGGAGTCTCAGAGGCTGAACACGGTCTAGGCCTGGGTTAGACTGTCCGGAGGCCAGAAGCTTCCAGGACTGGGCCCAGGTCAACACAAGGAGGCAGAGAGCCTCTTGAGAGAAAGCAGGAGAATAAGGTTCTTTTTACAGCCAGTCATGGTGGTGCAGGCCTGCGGTCCCACCACTTGTGGGGCAGAGGCAGGTGGGTCTCTCTGAGTTCAAGCCCAGCCTTGAACTCAGGGCTGGGGCGCGGCGGGCGCGGGCTGGGGGGCGTGGCTGGGGGGCGTGGCGCGGTGTGGGCGGGGCTGGGGGCGGGGCGCGGCGGGCGCGGCGTGGGCGTGACAGAGCGGGATGGGGAGGGGCGTGGCAGGGCGTGGCAGGGAGCGGGCGGGCGCGGCGCGGTGTGGGCGGGGCTGGGCTGGGGCGTGTCTGGGGGCGTGGCGCGGTGTGGGCGTGGCTGGGGGCGGGCAGGGCGGCGCGGGCGGGAAGGCCGCGCTCTCCCTCTCCCCAGCTGGTGTAGACGGCCGAGCTGGACCCGACCGGGAACTACGTCTTCGGTTTCCACCCCCACGGGCTGCTGGCCGTCGGGGCCCTCCGCAACTTCTGCACGGAGGCCCCGGGCTTCTCCCGCCCCTTCCCGGGCCTCCGGCCGCCCCTGCTGACGCTGCCCTGCTGGTTCAGGGCCCCGCTCTTCCGGGTCTACATCCTGGCGAGCGGTAGGCGGGGGGCGGGCGCCCGCTCGCCCGCTCCGCGCAGGCTTGGTCTCCGCGGACAGGGCCCGAGGGCGGCCGGTGGCCGTGGTGACTGTGGGGCCCTGGAGGTCCTGGGGGCCCAGCCTGGGGCCTCCACCTTGCGGCTCCGGAACCAGAAAGGGTTCATTAAGCTGTCACTGCAACACGGGTGAGGAGCGTGGCCGCGGGGGTGTGTGCCCGGCGGGGTGTGCCCGGTGCAGGGGTGTGTGCCCACGGCGGGGTGTGCCCATGGTGGGGTGTGTGCCCGGCGGGGTGTGCCCAT